TTTAAAAAAAATTTCAGGGGCTCCTGGGTGGCTCAGTCAGTTAAAGGACAACTCTTGACCTCAGCTCAGGTCTTGATCTGAGGGTTGTGAGTTTGAGCCCCGCACTAGGCCTTTTTTTTTTTTTTAAGTTTTCAAACCTTCTTATGGAAAAAAACATAAAGATAAAAAGCAACATTTAGGTTTGGGTTCAAATACTTAAAACTAAAGTATCTCTTAGGGGCGCCTGGGTGGCTCAGTCCATTAACCTTCTGCCTTCGGCTCAGGTCATGATCCCAGGGTCCTGGGATCCAGCCCCGTGGAGGCTCCCTGCTCCATGGGAAGCCTGCTTCTCCTTTTCCCTCTGCCTGCCGCTCCCCCTTCTTGTGCTCTCTCTCTCTCCCTGCCAAATAAATAAAAACATTTAAGTTTCTCTTAACATTTTTTTTAAATTTTTATTTTTGTGCAAGAGAGAGAGAGAGCGAGAGTGCACATGAGCGGGGGGAGCGTAGAGGGAGAGGAAGAAACAGGCTCCCCACGGAGCAGGGAGCCAGACACGGGGCTCGATCCCAGGATCGTGGGATCATGACCTGAGCCCAAGGCAGATGCCTAAGCAACCAAGCCACCCAGGCACCCATCTCTTAACTTTTTCAAAAAGCCACAGGTTGAGGGGCGCCTGGGTGGCTCAGTCAGTTAAGTGTCTGCTTTCGGTTAGGGTCATGATCTCAGGGTCCTGGGATCAGCCCTGCATGGGGCTCCCTGATGAGGGGGAGTTTGTCCCTCTCCCTTGCCCCTCCCTCTGCCACTCGTGCTCTCCCCCCCCTTCTCTCAAATAAATATTTTTAAAAATTAAAAGTAAATAAAAATAAAAAGCAACAGGTTGAGAAAAAAGATTTGCAATTATCTCTAATAGAGAACAGGCTAATCAACAATGTAGAAAATTCCTACAAATTAGGGAGCTAAAACAAAGAATCCAGTATAAAAACAGTAAAGGATAGTGATAGACAATTCAGGAAGGACAAACAACTGAGATGGCAATAAACATACAAAAAATGTGCAACTACAAAGATATCAGGCAAACATAAATCAAAGCAATGACTGAATACTATTTTCTCATCCAGAGAGTGCCACACATTAAAAAGACTAACAATATCCAGTGTTGATGAGGATGTGGGGAAATGAGCACTCATACTCTGCAGTAGGAGTATACATAGCTTTTGTGGAGCACTTAGACAATATCAAATGACATTTTCAATGCATGTGCCCTTTACCCAAGCAAAAATGCAGGAGCCTATTCGCATTCAGGGACATTTAAGGGCTCAGCAGTTTTGAATTAAGATGCTCCCTAGTATTTGAACTTAGGATATAGTGTTGTGGAGATGGTGTCATTCACTGGGGGAGCCATTCTGGTTCTTGTAAGATCAGCTCAAAATCAGAGGGACCAACTCTCTGAGACTACATTGTGACCTTGAGGAGGTGGGGAGCTCCCAGAAGTCAAACTCCCTCAGGAAAGCTACAGGCTAGCGTTGGGCTAATGCCACCTCAAGGGTCACAAGGAGCTTGCGGCTTGCCGTACAGAAGGTTCTAGAAAGAGAAAAAGAGGTAGCGCAAAGACACCAGGCTGTCTCAGGACAGCATGCCTCATCTGCTGAGAAGCCTAACTGGGACAGGGCTGCGTTGGAGGGTGGGGGTCGGGGGCCAACAAAGCGTAAAATTCTAGCATGGCTTTCTTTTCTAATATTGTGATAAAATGCGTCAAACACGACTTCACCATTGTAACACTTTAAAGCTAATGAAAAAGTCCCCTTCACTACATTCACCACGAGTGGAACGACCACAACATATAGTTCCAGAATTGTTTTATCACCCCAAAAGTAGATCCTGGACCACCACCCCCCCGCAGAGGCAGTCCTCTGAATTGATAGCACAGTGAAATATATAAAGAAATTAAATTATTTCGATTAATGTCCCACACGGAAAGGACAAGTGTTCAAAAACCCATTTCGTGGAGGGAACGTCGCGCGGAGGAAGCGTCGCAGCACCGTGTGGCGAGGGCTGCGCGCGGAGGGATCTGCACAGCACCGCACGAGGGAGCCGCACCACAACGCGCGGAGGAAGCTTGGAAGCACCGCTCGAGGGAGCTGCGCGCGGAGGGATCTGCACAGCACCGCACGAGGGAGCCGCATCACACAGCGCGGAAGAAGCTTGGAAGCACCGCTCGAGGGAGCTGCGCGCGGAGGGATCTGCACAGCACTGCACGAGGGAGCCGCATCACACCGCGCGGAGGGAGCTATACGGTACTGCCTCACACACTGCGAGCCATTCGCTTCTCGGACACCGACGCGGTGGTAGTGATGGCGGACGCCAGGCCTAGCACCGCGACGGCTGCCGAGGAAGCCAAGCCTGACGCGAAGACTCTCCAGGTGCTGCGGGATATGGCCAATCGCCTGCGCATCCACTCCATCAGGGCCACGTGCGCTTCGAGCTCCGGGTAAGGTTCCCTCGTCCGATTCCTCGCCTCGAGCAGCCGGCCTGGCGGCAACAGAAACCTGAAGTGAAGGGAGCCCTCGGGGAGCTGGGCGGGCTCGGTCGTAGAAGCCCCGTTTGGGACCGTGGCGGCGCAGATGCCGCGCCCGTGGGGCCCGCCTGTCGCTGCTTTGTAGCGGCGAAGCTGCCGGCCCTGACCCTCAGGGCCTCCCGCATTTAGCAGGGAGGAGCCCGGAATGTGCGTGGGCAAGCGGAGATAAGTCCGGGGGATCGCGGCCAGGTTGGCGCTGAAACGGGGTACGTGGCCGGAGCTTTCCCTGGAAGCTGTTGCCCTCAATGCCAGCGTCCCGATCCTAGCTTGGGGAGTGTAACAAAAGAAAACTATGGGCGAGTAAGAATTGGAGAAAAGGAGATTTTTCAGTCAGCTAGTATTTTGTTGAGAACTTTTGATTCAGTATTTTTAACGTATATTATCTTTGTTGTAGGGTGCTTGGGTGGCTTTGGTATAAGGGCAGTGTTAGCCTCAGAATGATTTGGTTCGTTTCAGGTTTTTTGGAAGAGTTTGAAAAGGATCGATGTTAATTCTCTAGATATTTGGTAGGATTCATCAGGTCGAGAGTTTTCCTTTGGTAGAGAGGTTTTTGATTATTGACTCGATATCCCTATTAGTTATGGGTTTAGTTAGAATTTCTATTTTGGGGGCCCTTGGCTGGCTCGGTGAGTAGAGCTTTTGATTCTTGATCTCAGGGTCATGAATTTGAGCCCCACATTTTGTATTTCTTCCTTGCTCAGCCTTCTTGAATTTTGTTTCTAGAAACTTCGTTTTTTTCATATCTCTGAAGGTGGTTTTTTTTTAAGATTTTGAGGGCGTGTGCGCAGTGCAGGGAGGGAGAGCAGACGGAGAATCACGGGCGGGGGGAGCGGACGGAGAAGTACGAGTGCACGAAG